ATGCTGCTTCACTGTTTACACTGATGAAAACGAAAACAAAACGCCTGGTTCTGTTGTTTGTTGTTCATGGAAAGTTGGTTATCAGTACGTCCTAATGGGCTGACTCTATACCCTGTATCTCAAATGACAGAAGCACAGGATAAATCTATGCTACATCCAAGAAAGGGGAAAGCTTTCCTCGTTGGCAGTTTCTGCCCATCCAGAAGCAGAAGCTATCAGAAAGAGAAGCCCATCACACACAGTGGTCCATGGCACTGCATCTCTGAACAAGAAGTCAGAAGATCCAAGTTCAATGTTATTGTGGTTTGAACCTGAAATGTCACTTAAGGGCCCAAATATTAGGGTGTGGCTGGCAGATGATGAACCTTTGAGAAGTGACTCACACCCATAATCTTAGTTACTCAGGAAGCTGAGATCAGAAGATCAAGAATGACTAGACATGATTGGATTAGTCCACTGACAGATTCTTAACTAGATGCCATTATTGGGATGGCACTGGGACATGTGGAAACTGTCCTGTCATGGCAGTTTCACCCCTATCCCCTCCACGATGCTCTGCCTTGTCACAATCCCACAGCCATGAGGCCAAAGGACCATGGACTGAAAGAAACCTGTAAAACTGTGAGCCAAAATGAAACTTTCTTCCTTTTAAAAGTTTTTCTCAGGTGTTTTGTCACAGTAATGGAAAGCTGACTAACCCAGTCTCAAGCTCCCCGGCCTCCTCATTAAGAGCTTCCTCCTGTGTAGACCACAGGAAGTGGAGGAACCAGCCAGCCAGAAACTTACATTTGAAGTAGATTTTCTTAAAGTCAAAGCATTTTCTTCATGGATAAAAAGGATTTCTGTAAGTAAAACAAGTCTGCCATGAAATGCTGTGTAGCTCCACCTATAGAAAATTCTAGAAAAGGCAAAGCTATAGCCAGCAAACCGATCAATAATTGCAATTGCTGAGGGAGACTAACCACAATGAGTAAAAATAAAGGATATCTGAAAGGGAGAGCAGATAGAATTGTGATTCCGGAGATGGTCACATGACTGAATACATCACTGCTGTCATAATGCACTGAATATTACAATTTAAAGACTGAATTCTACTGTATGAAAATTGCATCTCAATATCCCAATAAACCTGAATTCTTTATAGGGAACTGATTAAGCAATACTCTACCGGTAATTCTCAGCAGTGTAAAGGAATATTTTAACCCTCTAAAAGCAATGAGATACCATTTCTGAAAGAATGATTTTTTAATATTAAAAAATAGTGTGTTGGGCAGCAGTGAGACAGTGTTTTCCATAGCCTACCGGGGAGAATCTGATCCACTAGAGGATGAGAAAGAAATGTAGTGAAGGCTTAGCATATATTCTACAACCATTGTGCTGGTTAAGCACTGATTATGCAGCTAGCTAAATGAGATGGCAAGTTTCTACTCTGAGCTTGCCTTCATTTTCCCTACTAAATTCTGCCAGGCAGCCTTGGATTTCATAACATGTCTGCAGATTCCAAGTAGTGCTCAAAGCACAAAACCTCTCATTGACTACTCCTGGCTGGCATGCGAGGGAGGGTAGCAGCAAACTAGCTCCAGTTCTTTGGTCCTGTTACTCACAGATGAACCAGTATTCTCAAAATATATATAGAATATATATAGAATATATAGGAAGAATATAATTCTCCTTACCCCCATCCTAGTGTTCATGTTTTGAATTCAGGTTTCACACTCACCAGGTAAGGCCTTCTACCACAGAGCTACACATCTAGCCTTTATTTGCAATAGTTATTTTTGAAATAGGAAGTGTCCTTTGCACACTTCATCTTGGATCATCTCATTTATCACATCCCATCATCACTGGGAAAGTAGGTTTGAGATATCACATCCTGCTTCTTCTGACTAGATGGAGTCTTATGGACTTTTCTACCAAGGCTGGCCTGGAACCTTGATCCTACTGATCTCATAGCCCCAGTGTTACTAGGCAATCAGCACAGTGCCACCTATGGACTGCCTATTGACTGAGAAGATGTCTTGCATGTATGCCTAGGTTGGCTGCAAGCTAAAAATCAACCAATCTCAGCCTCCTAAGTAGCTAGGATTACAGGTGTGAGCCACCAGCACCCTGTTTCATATTCTTCTTTCCCTGATTCTAGGATGCATTCACTTCTTCTTTACAGATTCATCAAAACACTAAAGCATTCACTTGGCTAAGTAACCTCAATCCCCACTCCTAAAACAAATTCCAGATGAGTCAGAGACATAAACATAATTGATTTATAAATTCACAAAAATACACTAAAAATGTTCCTATAATTTTGGAACAAAAGAAGATCTTAAAAATGATGCAGAACGAAAAATCAAAAAGTGAAAACACTGCCAGGCCCTGGTGGCTCACAGCTGTCATCCTAGCTACTCAGGAGGCTGAGATCAGAGGATCACAGTTCAAAGCCAGCCCAGGCAGGAAAGTCCATGAGACTCTTATTGCCAATAAACCACCAGAAAACTGCAAGTGGCGCTGTAGCTCAAGTGATAGAGTGCTGGCCTTGAGCTGAAGAGCTCAGGGACAGCACCCAGGTCCAGAGTTCAAGCCCCACTACCAACAAAAAAAAAAAAGTTAAAACATTCATAAACTTTACCATTAAAAAACTGAATGTTCCACTTAGCAATAAAAAAAATTTCAAACTCAAAATCTAAATAGCCAAATAGAAGAAAGCATCTATAGTACAAATAACAAAAATATTACATATATATGTATACATAACATATACATGTCATATATACTATATATATATATATATCATATGATATATATATGTAACTTTCACAAACAAGGAGTTACTGCAAATCACAAACAGAAAGTAAACCCAATAGGAAAACATGTGAAGGATAGTAACAGTTCACCTACAATAAAAATAGGTGGACTGAGATAGAACCTCAGTGGTAGGGTGAATTCTTCACATGCAAAGGTCCTGGTTGCAATCTCCAACACTGAAAATGCAATAAAAGTTACAAGAAGCCAATAGACACATGAGGACATATACAAGCATGAGTTCAGAAATGGAAGTAAAAATACTGGGGAAGCCCCATTTGGCATCTGTGACATAGAGAACCTAATGCTGATAATACCCAAGGCTAGTAAGAAGGGAAAAAGGACTCCTACACACAAAATTAATGAAATCCAAAGTAGGGAGATTTTTTTAGAAGACAATTTAACAATTTCTATGAAAATTTTGAGGACAATATATTCTATGTTTCAGCAATTTCACCAGAATAACTTCATTCTATAGACATTTACCTAGAGGTATAACAATATTTCAGTAACAACGTTTATTACAGCATGATGTATAAGAACAATGACAAAAAGGGAAGAGCCAAGGTAGGCGCCAGTGGCTCACCCTTACAATCCTACCTACTCAGGGAGCTGCTATCTGAGGATCACAGTTCAAAGCCAGCCAAGGCAGGAAAATCTGTGAGACACTTTATCTCCAATAAACTATTCAAAAAAGCCGAAAGTGGAGCTATGGCTAAGTGGTGGAGTGTTAGCCTTGAGCAAAAGGCGCTCAGAGACAATGCCCAGGCTCTGAGTTCAAGCCCCAGGACTGGCAGAAACATTTTTTAAAAAAGAAAGAACCAAACATGTCTATCAATAGTGGACTTCAAGAAACCACTGCCATTCATTTCTGGCAGCACTGCTCAGTCATGCTGACCAAAACAGAGACCCACGTTGTATACATGTTGGGATGGGGGAGCCAAGCACAGTGGCTCACAGCTATAATCCTAGCTGTTCAGGGTACTGAGATCTGACAATCCTGGTTCAAAGACAGCATAAGAAAACAGAGTCATAAGACTCTTATCTCTAATTAAGCAGCCAAAAGCCAAAAGGGGAGCTGTGGCTAAGTGATAGAATGCCAGCCTTAAGTGAAAAGCCAAGCAAGAGTACAAGACTGAGTGCACACCTCAATACCAAAGGAGGGGGGAAACTAAACTGCCCTGCAAAGATAGTGCAAAGTCCAGAGCTACTATCATTCATGGAAAACACAGAATGTCAGAGATGGGAAAGCTTTAGAAGAAGGACCCTTCCTACTATCCCTGAAAGGTCACCTCAGCACAAACCCATAAGAATCATGAATGAGCAGAACTGTACAAAGCAGGTCAAGGGGGGTGTGGCTCAAGTGTAGAGTCCTAGCCTAGAAAGAATGAAAGCCCTGAGTACAGTCCAAAACAAATGTCATTGTGAAAAAAGGATTTAGGGTTATATTTAAAGACAGAAGAGCCAAGTATAAGTAAAACATTTCACCCCAGGCCCTGACCTAGGAAGCAGGCAGATATATAGGATTATTGAAGTGTGGATCTTTCTATCAGACATAAGGAATGGGGTGGGGCAGGGAGCAACTGGATACAATAAGTATGAACTAACAAAATAAAAGAGCTTTTTCGGTATTGACTTAACAAGTACCTGCTGCTCTGAAATAGAGCATTTTGTAATATTCCTGTAATTCAGTGGCTGAATTTAAAATACTCGCCTCCTCTTCCCCATATATCTAACACAAGATTTTCCAAGATCCTGGGGAACAAGTGAAGCATATTGAAGACCAAATTGCCAGACCACATTTCACACAATGCCTGCAAAGAACATGATTAGTCTGAGGTCATAGTTTATTGAAGGATTAGTGATAACAACTCATATACAGGGACTGTACATCCGACTTGCTCCACCTCCACATGAAGTCAGCAGCTCAAGCTAAATGACAGAGAAATTAACTGTGGTCTGCATCAACGGAAAGCAATGCAACTGGCTACGCAGAACCAGCCCAGAATATCTGCAGGCCCTTGAAGCCCACCTCTAAGAATGCCCCATTTGCTCCCCACATGGCTTTATGTCCATAGCAGGACAAGAATGAGTTCCTCCACAATGGATAACATGAAAAGCATCTTCTCCAAAGGCACAAGTGATGGGCTGAAAGGAGCCACCCAGGTGACTCAGAAGCCTCTTTCCCACCCAGGGTCACTTACCTTCGAATTCATTTCCATGTGGAATTTGGCACAAGCTCGAAGCTGAGTCACCCAAAACTGTTTCTCTTTTGCATCAGCAGCTAAAATAGAGAACACAGAGAAAGAAATGCTTGCAGAGATTGTTCTCAAACACATCCAACTGCTTTCTACACCACTTGAGGGGGTGGGAATCTAGGGAGACAGGGAGAGAAGGTAATGAGGGAAAATGTTCTCAAGTAGCTAGAACTTCCAAGAGCTGAATGACACTCCCTTCTCCCCACAAAATTTCTTCTTGCACATTAAAAATCAATTCTGAAATGTCTTATAAAAACAATTTTTGTCAATTTTTTTAATATCGTCTGAAAAAGTCATTTCTACTTTAAAAAAAAAAAAAGGCAGCAAGAAAGGAAAAAAAGTGTTTCCTACCAAATGCCCCTACCTGGTGTTGCGAATATCAAGACAGAAGTACAAGCTGATCCATGGCCTTCTGTAATCCAGAGTTTTTCTGGGGAGTTTTTTGAGCATTCACAAACTAAACGCTCCATTATATGTATCATTATATGTGTTTGATGATGATTGCACAGAACAAGAATCAAATGCTACCTTCAAAATACCCAAAATTTTCCCACAGCTGGGTGCTAGTAGCTCATGTGTATAATTCTAGCTACTCAGGAAGCTGAGATCGGAAGATCGTGGTTCAAAGCCAGCCTGGGAAAGAAAGTTCATGCGACTCGGAGTTCTAACCAATTACCAAAAAGCCAGAAGTGGAGCTGTGACTCAAGTGGCCACCAATCTTGAGTGAAAAAGCTAAGGACAGGCCACAGACCCTGAGTTCAAGGCCCAATACTGGCACAAAATAAAATAGAAAAAAAAAATCCCAAAAGGACAGTAAGTCCAAGTCACTTGCACAATCATATTCTTCCATCTATACTCCAACTCTTGAATAATATGTATAATTATTCTTAAATATACTGGACATGTAACTAGTGCTAATACAATCTCAATCATCAATTTACCAGTGACTGCATAAATATTCTATTACTACATAAATGCAAAAAAAAAAAAAGATTTCCATAGAAATTATTCTTGCTTACCTAGACCAAAGTATCATTTATTAATGAAATCTGGCTTCAGCTTAACCTTTCAGGGGAAGAAATCTAAAGCTAGAAAATGGGAAATTCTTGGCTCTGGTCCATGTAAGACATGGGGATAGCTGGCCCTTTAAATCCAACCTGATCTGTCCAGAGTCCCATTGTATAAATATGAGAGACTGTGTAAGACAGGGGGTAGGGATTAACTTCTGAAAACAAAGGAAGTACTACTACCCAAAGACTTAATACCCAAAGAGAAAACAAGACTGCCAGTTTCCAAGGGGAGAGGGAAAGGGGAAGCAATGAACATGCAGAAATGTCCCGGATCTTTCATAGTTGATAAATTCAGGCTAAATTTAGCCCTTGTGACTATTTCATGAGGAAAATAAAACTTTTATGTATGCTATTAAAATTGCCCTTTAAAAAAAACTAGGAGTTTTAACAATCCACAGAATATTAACAACTCAGTGTGAGATGAGAGAGCTCAACTGTCAAATAGCTTAGATTTTTCTTTCATACGGGCTTCTGTCATTTTATAAACCACAGGCAAGAAGTGCCATTAAAGTTTTCACCTGCTATTGTTTCTACTCTGGCAATTTATTAAGCAATAAATAGCAAAGCGAAGCCAAGGACCATATAAATCTAGTCAGCTGGAAGGCATGCTATGTGAATCTCAAAAGAGAAAGTGTATCTTAACACGTGTCGGAAAAATCAAAAAAATTTCTTCTTCAACCCAAGGCATTTTCATTTCATAGGCTTTTGGACTGTTTTATTGATTCTGATATAGGATTTGTATATAGACAGTAAAGAAACATGAGCTTACTCCTTCTCTGAGTGGTAGACTTGGGCAGGAGAACAAGGAGAAGAGGAGGGAAAGGTGGGATCCAGACCCTCAGTGCAGCCTTGTCGGGGGGTAATGACAGCACTGGGGACAGGTAAGAAGGTGCTGTCTCGTGGTACTTAGCTCTTACTTAGAAAAATGTTCTGTAAAAAGGCAGAATTTCCAGGCCCTAGTTACTCACTCCTATAATCAGCTACTCAGGAGGCTGAAATATGAGTATCACAGTTCAAAACCAGCTCTAATAGGCCAATCTAAGAGACTCTGATGTATAATTAGCAAAAAGCCAGAAGTACTGGTGAGGCTCAAGTGGGAGAGCACCAGAATGGAGCAAAAAAGCCAAGCAAGAGCACAAAGCCCTGAGTTCAAGTCCCAGTACTGACACAAAAGGAAAACAAAATGGTAGAATTATGAGCTGCATCGCCATTACCTACAAAAGCCCAGCTTGTTTAGGCCTTAGTAAATAACCTGGATTATGTGCGCAGGTTCTGTGCACACGTATGTACATGCATTGCACTGTAAATTTGAATTTCGTCTGCTTTGCTATTTTATTAGAAGAAAACTGGCATAATCATGGCAACGCAGCCATAACAGGATCTTGAAAGAATGAGTGAGCAATCAAATCACAGTGCATTTACAAGGCAATCTGGCATTTCTGGGAGAAGGATGTGCCCAGATAAACACTGGACTCTCTCAACTGTCAGCTTCATTTCTAAGGATGTCATCAAACGTCACTTTTGAGAGGGCACAGGGAAGATAAAAGTGCCCAATGGGAAGTTCATGCCTGCTAGCTTCTCAGTAGGCCTTACCTCTACCTCAGATGGCTCAAGAAAAACTCTAGCATGTGTGTATATGTGTGTGTGTGTGTGTGTGTAGATACTATAAACCTCTCCCACAATCAGTGAAGATCAAAAATAACATATACTGAGTAAATCCTAGACATCCTCGGAGCTCAGCCACCAGTGCCATCCCTCCTCTTCCTCTATCCTTAAATCCTCAGTTCATCAAAACAAGCAATTCCTAGTGTCAACTCCACCTCCTCATCCCTCGGGGCGGGGCGGGGGTGGGGGGTTAAGAAGAGCAGTGACCATTCCACCAGAATCCTCCAAATCCTTGAAAATTAATAAAGTGATTTTTTTTAATTATCATTGAGTAGTTGTACAAAGGGGTTTCAGCTCCACATGTCAGCTTGGGTGCAATGCATCTTGATCAATGTCATCCCTTTCATGATTCTTCCCACCCATTCCCCCAATTTACCTGGTTCCATTTTTCATATGAATATTATTGACTGAACTTGAAATGATGCCAGGACCTGGTGGCTCATGACTGTAATCCTAGCTACTCAGGAAGCTGAGATCTGGGATCACAGACCAAAGCCCAATCCAGCAGAAAAATCAAAGACTCTCATCTCCAATTAGCCAGCGAAATGCTGGAAGTGGAGGTATGGCTCATATGGTAGAGTGCTAGCTTTGAACAACAACAAAAAAAAGGTAAAGGAAAGGGTAAGACTCTGAATTCTAGATCAGGTATTAGCACAAAAAGGAAGGGAGGAAGGGCTGGGAAGGTGGCTAAGTGGTAGAGCGCTTGCCTTGCATGCTCGAGGCCCTGGATTCGATTCCTCAGCACCACATAAGCAAAAAGAAAAAAGCCGGAAGTGGCGCTGTGGCTTAAGTGGTAGTGCGCTAGCCTTGAGCTGAAGAGCTGAGGGACAGTGCCCAGGCCCAGCGTTCAGGCCCCACGACCGGACCCAAAAAAAAAAAAAAAGGAAGGGAGGAAAAGAGGGAAGAAGAGAAGGAAGGAGGAAAAAATGGGAGGGAGAGACAGCACAGTACCTGTGAAAGGGCCCAGGAGGCCTGCCAGAAGCCTCCCCAGAGCACTCACCTCTCAGCTTGTACATCTCTCCACTGGCAGCGTACACAACCAGCATGTGGGGAGCTTCGTCGCTCAGAGACACAATGGCTCCAGATAAAGACAGCACTCCTCGTGGCTTCTGGTGTTTGCTCTGTTCATTCACAAAATACTGCAGCATGCCAGTCTCAAAATCCAGCACAAAGTACCTGCACAGAGAAAGCACAGCACATTACTCTGCACTCCCCGCTTGTCCCACACAACAAAGCATTAAAGCCTATCGGAAGTTCACATCAAGGTATCAAACTCACCAGGCTGGACTCAAGTTCCTCCCAGGACCCCACAAATGTCAACCACAATGTGGAGAGTAGACTTTTTGTTTGTTGGTGCCAATACTGAGGCTTGAACTCATGGCCTAGCACTCTCCATTGGGTTTTGGGGGTGTGTGTGTGTATGAGTCTGTGTCTGTGTGTGTGTGTGTGTGTGTGTTTGCTTAAGTCTGACACTATTACTTGAGCCATAGCTCTGCTTTTGAGGAACTAGTTTTGAAATCAGAATGGATCGTGTGTGTGTGTGTGTGTGTGTGTGTGTGTGTGTGTTTGCTTAAGTCTGACACTATTACTTGAGCCATAGCTCTGCTTTCGAGGAACTAGTTTTGAAATCAGAATGGATCCTGTACCAGGCCTCTGTGGGCAAATGTGAGGGTCACTCAAGACTGGGGACCAAACCTAGAAGGTCACCTGGTGTATAATGGCACTATTTCAAACCTCAGCATGGGGGATCAGCAGGCACTGTGCCAGCGAAATGCATGCATCTCCGACCTTATGGACATTAGCTAGAATTCAGGAGGCCTCAAAAGATGTAGTACACTTTACCCCCAGCAGCAAAGCTCAGCTTCCTGCCAGTGCTCAGGTACCACAGAGCCAGAGCACCTGGTGTGATGACGAGGCACTGGCAGGGCTTTTGCAGGCACCTAGACACCTTCAGCAGGCCCTGCGTACAGCCTTTTCACATCAAGGGACAACAGCCAGGACCACTGAAGGGAACTGCAAAGCACGCAGGTCACATAGATGTCTGTGGCTAAATAGCTAGCTGACTTATTCTCTCGGCCATCACCCAGCAAGGCCAAGACAGCTTTCCCTTCTCCACCGGAAGGAACATCCTCAATGGAGACCAGTTTCTGCAGTCTAGACAGCCAAGCAGGGCCCGCCACCCACCCATCCTTCCCCCCTACCCTGACTCTCTGCCACCTTCACTTTCTGCTCCACCATCCTGGCCTTTTCTCTCTTCCCTCCTATTCACCAAGTGCCTCCTATCAAAGGGCCTTTGCACAAGCTGCTTACTGTGACTGGAGCAATTACTCAAAGAGTAGACCACAAACCAACAAGAGTCCATAACAGCCTTTTGAAACCTCCCAACTCTTGGATTTGTTTTAGCCCCCAACCACATGAATCAGAGTGTCCTCAAAGATCAGATGTTTCCATCACATAGCACACAGCTGCCTAGAGTCATGGAGCAGTCCCGGGGTCCTTCCCCACAGGCAGGTAGACAAACACCTTCCCAGAATGCTCACCCCCTGCCTAGAATGTGGTTCCTTCCCCTTGTAGCCATGGGATGTTTCCTAAGCAAGCCTTCTCACAGCACCATGAAACTCTCCTTCAGCACCCTGGCCACAGTGAAGTCCATATTTGTGTGACTGAGTCAATGTCTACTTCCTCCACAGTGTGGAGATTAAACTGTCTCACTCAGTGCCCCTGACGCCCCATTGCTATTCAGTCCCCATGGTAAAAGAACTTGGGGGGAAAAAGAAAGTGTACTGAATCCCAAGGCATTTGGATCACACAGTGAGGTCAAAGAGGCATGATAAAATATTTATTGCCTGTGTTTGAGGGTATATTCAGCACGGGTCAGGCACAGCTCACACTACCATCTGGAGTACAGTCCTACCCCACACCCATCTTGGAACTTCAACTCAAGGCCTGTCCCTGAGCTTCTTTGCTCAAGGCTAGTGTTCTACCACTTGAGCCACAGCTCCACTTCTGGTTTTTTAAGAGTCTCTGGACTTTCCTATCAGGTCTTGCTTTGAACTGCGATCCTCAGATCTCAGCCTTCTGAATAGCTAGGATTACAGCTGTGAGCCTCTGGCCCCTGGCTTATTCCTACACATTAATATGGGTCAAAAAACTGCCAAGCACTACTAATTCATGCCTATCATTCTAGTTACAAAGATCTCAGTTCAAAGCCAGTACAGGCAGAAAAGTCCATAAGACTCTTATCTCCAATTAATCACCAAAAATCTATGTATGGAGCTGTCATTCAAATGGTAAAGTACCATCCTCGAGAAAAAAGAAAAAAAAAGCTAAGGGACAGTGCGTAGGCCCTGAGTTCAAGCCTTAGTATCAAAAGAAAGTAACTCCTTCAAGGAGAGAAGAACCAAACTAAGTGCTAACTTTGCCCAAGTATAATGGAGTAACCTATACAAGTGACCTGTATTCACTGTGACTAGCTGCACAGTCAGAACACTGAAATCGTCCTGAGAGGTAGCAGGAAGGAGAAACCCTGGTACTGTATGCCCCCACCTGGGGACAGAGCCAAAGCATTCCCACTGCAGAGCAGAGAGAGAGGAAGGCAGGGGTTATGTGCCCAAGAAAAAGGCAGAGCAATTTTCTGTGTGATGCTTTCCATTTCTCCACCCACTCTGCCTCTGACTACAGGGGAAAAAAAGCTAACTAGGTGCTCACCTTACCACCCACCCAGGGCAGGCTTGCCTGCCACACCCTCAAAGCCTCTCGCAGGCACATCCAGCAAACACATCCCTATTTGCACAGATCATTTGGAAGCACACACAATGACTGAGTACCAGATTCTCCTTTCAGAAAGGATGGCAGAATAACCAAGTGATGTCACATTATGCGAAATCCTGGGACACATTAATGATTCTTTTTCACATTCCCTATTTTAAAGCTGGCATCTTCATTCTAATCTCCTGTGCCTAGATAGGGGGGGGGGGACACATGCTTCCTAAAACCATACAAACACCAATGCACAAGTTGCACTTATTTGTACTGAAGATGGGCATAAATCATTTACTCCTTTTATCAATGTATTAAAATTTTATCATAATAGGTGGGGGCAATGGGATTCTAGCTGATGAAAAATTCCAGCACATTGAACAGTATTCTTTTAGGTGCTTGAGTCCTACATGCACGTGTCAGCGTTAGAAAGAGCAATTTCAAACGGTCACCTCCACTGGGAGGAAAGAAATTAATCTTGGCTTCCGTATACATCTCTGTCAGGTACTGCTGTTTGGAGCCTGGAGCTAAGATTTGAAGGTCACAGCTTGTATTGTAAATAGGAAACTTAACCATATTTCTAGATTAGGCTTCATTAAGCCAACAAGTGATATTTCTGAACTCCTGAAACATTCCTAAAGTTTTTCCCTTATGGAGACATGGAGACAACTTAACCTATTCTATTACACATACATTTTATCTTTTTATTTTGAACTGTAGTGATGTACAATTTGGCTTATTTGTGGATGAGCTTAATTGTGTAAAGGAAACACATTCCATGCTATATTAGATTAAAAAGAGTCTGTTGGCCAGGCTCAAGTGGTAGCTCATGCCTGTAAGAAGGTTAGAAGCCACCCAGGACAGACAAATCTGGAAGACTCTTTATCTCTACTTAACCATCAAACAGCTGGAAGTAGAGGTACGGCTCAAGTGGGAGGACTCCAGCCAAAAAAAAAGCCATGTGAGAGTCCTGAGTTCAAGCTCCAGTACTTGGCATGAAAAAAAAAAAAGCTAGAGGAGGAAGAATGAGAGAAGTGAAACCAACCCAGGATGATAGAACCCCTTAGCTCTACCTGGCTAGCATCTTAAAGGTACCTTGTTGAATTCTAGGCTGGGAGTCTAAGGCAGGCAGCAGCCCCTTCCTGGGAAAGACAGAGGACTAGCTACTGTCACTAATACCCTTAGCTTGTACACACACACACACACACACATGCATTCACACACTTCACATTCATACCTGTACTCGTATATGCTCACAAAAATGTGTACACGCACGTAGTTACTCATTCTGTTCACACACATACAACTAACTCATGCACGTTTGCATAGACACTTACACATGCATGTGTACTCACACAAACTCACACTTGCCCTCATTCACTCTCACACCCAGTACCACCCACTCCTGCCTATTCACAGTGCTGTCTGTCCCAGGCTGGCACTTCTCAAGCTCATTTGACCAACTATAATTTTCTCCCCTTATCCTAACTGCCTCAAAGTTCCTTTAAAGATCTAACCTTCAGGATCTTCACATTGACAAAAGCCTACATTTTCTCTCTAAGCCATGGCCACAGCTCCCACCACATCCCAGCAAGAACTGCATCCATATAGGAAAGACAGTCACAGGCTAGAAGCTCAGCAATGTGAACTAGCTGAAGTTACAGCCAAACTACATAAGAATTACAAAGAAAAGCATGCAAGAGAAGCTTTCCTCTGATGAAGAACTGCACCTATAAAGCCAGTCATGACTATTAAAAAGTCAGATCATTTCATCTAAACATGAAAGCAAAAATTAAACTGAGTAAAGCGCCTGAAGGAGTAACAACAGCCATCTTGTCTGAAATAAGCAGGTCTTTCCTTCCAATAGGCCTGGTAGTACAAGACTTCAGATTCCTTAGTCTTGAGGATTGAGGACCAGGCCCCTCACTTCCACAGCAGAGGCCAGGGCCAGAGCCACAGAGGTTTTACTGATCCCAGTATCCCCCACTGAAAGAAGCCAGAGAAACAAATTTCTTCCTGGCTACATGCATCATCCCTGCTGTATCTGCCTCAATTTCCCCAGGCATCAGTCTCCAAGAAGCCAACTACTGGACTGCATGACCAGGGCAGACCTGCACTCGGTCACAGTCCATTGTGCCCTGATCAAAGGCAACAGGCAGCTACTTAAGGACCTTCCACACTCCCACATTCCCACCAACACAGCAAAATAAAACAGGCAGAGACCCTCTCCCCATTGCCATTATACCCCACAGCTCCACTGACAGGTCCAGCTAGTACAGAACCCAGAGATGGAAAGAAACATCACTGTATATACACCCATGTATACACACCAGTGTACACAGTACCTATCACAGGCCTTCCAGTTCCCCCTTCCTATCAACACAACGCCACTTCTGAGATCAAATAGCACCACATTTCCCAAACTTCGAATCCTCACAGCCCAGGTGAAGACTACATCGATAGCTGACCTCATTCTCTCTCATTATGAAGGGACCAGAGCCCAGCTTTCCTACATCACAAGAGCTCAGGAGGTGGATTTCTTGGTTTTGTTAATTTGGAAGTTTTTTTGAGAAAGACTGGAAGTTACACAATTACCTGGCATGGAGTTCCTAAAATCATGGGACATCCCCTAACATTAAGCATGAGCTGGCCTCAGCAGAGGGCTCTAGGTGCCAGGCCTAAATAAAGGCATCTAAAGACTAGGAGCTGCCAGCCCAGGAAGCTGCTGCTCAGGACCACCTGGCAAAACTAAAGAATAACTCAGAATGAATGCTCAGAAGTGTGAGCTTGGATGCCTTGCACTTGGATTGATCTAGCATGAAATTCAACTTGCCTTTAAAGACTAGAAGATTTAATGGGAACCCTAAGAATGGAGTCCTGACATGGATTAATAGAGGCTTACAGAACACTGCCTCAGTACTTTCTGAACGCCCAAGTCTTGGGTTCCTGGTGCCTACAGGTGACAAAACTCCTTTAAATATATTCAGAAACAGCAAAGAGTGCTTAATGCTCACAAATCACATTGTCATGGACAATGCTTTGGACTCTTGGTGGGCTGAGTGCTGACTCAAGACCCTGCTCTCCTACTAAACCTGAACAAACACATCACATCAAGAAAATGGTATCTTAAGTGGCTCACATCTGTAATCCTAGATACTCAAGAGGCTGAGATCTAAGGATTGTGCTTCAAAGCCAACTGGGGCAGGAAAGTCCATGAGAGTCTTATTGTTAGAGATATCTCATGATAGTGGGGTGTGGTGAGAAATGAGAACACTAACTCAAACGGAACTCAGCAAAGTTTATTTCTGTGCAGAAGGCTGTGTGAACACACCAAAATGGTGTCAAAACACAAATAAGATGAGCACTGCAACACTGTCTTTTAAGGAGCATTGTCTCCTTACCTCAATTAGTCAGGCTCAGGGTTCACAGTCGCTTGCAACTGGCTAACACCCAACATTCAAACCACAAGGGCAAGAAAC